CCCGTATTACTGTGAACAAAATACCTTGTGCCCGTATTACTGTAACCAAAATACCTTGTGCACGTATTACTGTGACCAGAATACCTTGTGCCCATAAGACTGTAACCAAAATACCTTGTGCCCGTATTATTGTAACCAAAATACCTTGTGTACGTATTACTTTGACCAGAATACCTTGTGCCCGTAAGACTGTAACCAAAATACCTTTTGCCCGTATTATTGTGACCAAAATACCTTGTGCCCGTATTACTGTGACCATAATACCTTGTACCCGTTTCACTCTGACCATATTTCCGGTGACCAAATTTCCTGTGACCAAAATACCTTGTTCCCATATTACTATAACCAAAATACCTTGTGCCCTTATTACTGTACCCAAAATAGCTTGTGCCCGTATTACTGTGACCAGAATACCTTGTGCCCGTATTACTGTGACCATAATACCTTGTGCCCGTTTTACTCTGACCATATTTCCGGCGACCAAATTTCCTGTGACCAAGTTACCGTGCACCGATCGGCCCCTCACCTTACGCCACTGGTTCCTTCATCCATCAGATAGGCTGAGAAAATATGAAAGATTCGATAATATTATTTACGTTTATTTAAAAGCAAAACACACAAAAAACGTATAACCTATAAGCGTATTATTATAACTTGCCTTAGAAAATATTGGAAAAAGTAAGAGGAAAATCAAGACTTTCACTTATCCACCAGCAAAATATGTTACATAGACTCGAAAACAGTTTTAGTACTACTGTAATTTGCGACTGTAGAGCTACTACTAATCAAAAATTCAAAACTAAACAAAACTATCATAAAGGTTTTCAATTTCTCCACAACAGATTTCCATCTTTTAAATACGTAAAACTCAAATTCCACCATTTCACCCATCAATTCAAACTCTGAATTAGAATTCTATTTTTGGGTAAAACATGAATCTGTAGTGTTTTAGCATAGTCCTTTCAAAACCGATCGGATCTCCACAGGCTGCACAATGTACACTAAAAATAGAATTCAATTTTCCAAAATAAACGACAGCTTAATTATTACGTAACAATTCAACCCTTAGCACGAAGAACTGTATCGTTTACTGTTACAATCGAGTTTTGATGTCAAATGGAGGCAATGAGAGACATTACATATTTCACACTATGTTAGTAACATACATATATTACATAAATATCATATTAACAATATTTTTCAAACTACTTATTACTAAGAGAGAAAAACAAGACAAAAAGTAAACTATTCTGTATTTCAATCTCAATCTATAATATTTAACTTAAAGAAGTCATATCAAATATATCTAATGTAGTTAATATTTTCATTTTCAAAGTTTAGAAATAAAAGTGGTGTTTGATATTTCAAACAAAACAATGTAAAAAAGGATTTACATATCCACAATCAAAACAATTGATACAAAACATCCAAAAAATCCCAATTATTTTTAATCTACCTTTGAATTTGTTGAAAGTAATTTTCATTTGGTTTGAAGCCAAAATACAATTTTTTTTACACTTTGCCAATTTCAAGTATTTATTATGTATTTTTTCAACAAAGATGTATAATTTGACACCTTCTATTTGGCGTGTCCCCGTTAGTAATAAATCAAACACCAGATAAAAGATCAAAATTAGGACAACTACAGCAAGAGATGTAAATATTAAATCGAGAAAGCACATTAAAAATTATAAAAATAAAATAAACACCAATCTCTCTTCATATTTTACAGGCTTCAAGGACAGTTCTGAAAAAAAAAATAGATCAGTTTCTCTCATGTTTGTTGCTGTTTAAAGTTGTAATTGTAATAAATTAAACACAAATAACACGCAGTGACTCTCACATAAAATATAGATCTGGTTTATTAAACTTAAATTAAGTACCAAATTTAGAGTTTGACCAATAAGATAAAGTAAATTTTTTTGTGAATAAGATCCCTGATATAATTTTGTAGTTACCATAGTCTGAACGAAACGTTTGAAATTAGAAAAGCAGCCACGAGATAGATCAGATTTATATACAGCCACAAGAAAGAGCTTAGATAAATATACAGCCGCGAGATGGAGCTCAGATAAATTTAATCCACGAGATTAAGCTCAGACAAATATACAGCCATGACATAGAGCTCAGATAAATATACTGCCAAAAGAAATCTCAGACAATTATACAGCCACGAGATAGAACTCGGTTAAATATACAGCCAAGAGATAGAACTCGGTTAAATATACAGACAAGAGATAGAACTCGGTTAAATATACAGACAAGAGATAGAACTCGGTTAAATATACAGACAAGAGATAGAACTCGGTTAAATATACAGCCAAGAGATAGAACTCGGTTAAATATACAGACAAGAGATAGAACTCGGTTAAATATACAGACAAGAGATAGAACTCGGTTAAATATACAGACAAGAGATAGAACTCGGTTAAATATACAGCCACGAGATAGAGCTCAAATAAATATAAACAGCCAAAACATCTTAAATCTCAATTGCGATCTCATTACTCTACACAAATACCACAAGATGCAAACTTTATCTTTAGTGGTGATGTTGAAAGAATGATACAAGTCAATAGCCCTTCGAAATCTCATCGTTCAATATTTCCATAACAGTTTTTAAATCGCTTATAAACCTATCATGACTTAAATCAAGAGTAATAAATACAACAATACGAAGATAATCATTGACAGAAAGATTGTAAATTATTATACTTACAATGAACAATATTAGATACATAGTTGACTATTTGTTTTGTCAATTGACAAGCTTTAGTAGAATCATTTCTATCATAGACATCTTTTGGAACTTTTGGAAAATGGACAGTATCTGGATATCTCATTCGTGTGTGGTCACGAATACAAGACTGTAATTCATCAGCTAAAGATACCAACTCTGGATACTGGGTAAGGCCACATGCTATACTAGATAAATTGTGATATTGTGAAACTTTGTTTGAATCAATGGTATACCACACAGCTTTCAGAGCCTTCTCAGCAGCCTGAAAAACAAATCATACATCGTCATCATCTGACTAATAAACACCATCTCGATGTCGTCAAACTGTAATACGATTGATTCACAATGGCAATGCGAGGGGTTCATGTTGTCGTAGTGCTTACATACGAAAATCGCGCAGCGATACAAATAGGCGAAGGTGACACGATTTGACAAGATGTCCTAAGCATGGCCATACGAAGAGCAAAGTGGACACACAAATTCAACATGAAAATGAACCATCGCAAGGCCTTTTTTAGTTTTGGCATTCCAAATATATTGCAACCGCTCATAACCGAGTGCGATATTTATATGATCATATCCGGTTTTGAACATTTCCTCTATTGTGTGTCCATCTGGTGTCAATTCGGGACATTGTGAAGCCTGCATTGGTAAAGTAAGAGTAATATAACAAACCTGTTGACACATGTAACAAATCCAGTTGTAATTATTAGATCCCTGATTGTGAGACTCTTCTGCAGCTTCTATATCAAACCTTGCTTGTTTGTACCATCGTCTAGCTTCATCAGGTCTGGGGAATGGTCCTGTGTGGAAATGGAAACTGGAGTCACTATGGTAAGATCTATTTGATCTTTGTTGGTTGGAATGCTGTGCATAACTTCTTCCCCTTGAATGCATATTTGAGTAGAAACTGCTGTAATTACCACCAGAATAATAGTCTGCAGACGCACCATCAGTGTAATCTTTATCATCATCATCCTCGTCTTCATCCAAACTCCCCCCTTTCTCCAAATATCTTATATAGTTAAGTATAGTTTGGGTGATTTCTGTAGCGAGTTTCACAAGATTAGGATTTTTATCAGGATGCCATTTCAATAACAAACGTTTAATGACTCGTTTTCTATCAGCTTCTGATAGTTTCCAAGCTTTAGTTAATAACTGTCTGATTTCTTTCAGTATGCTCTTCTTGTCGGTAGGAACAGTAGATTCAGAAGGTATACGTCCTTGTTGAGAATCCTCACTTAACACTATTTCTCTTGAGCTACTTGTTAAATTCCTGTGAAATTTGTAGATTTTGGTCGAGTCAACGTCTATATTTTCTTCATCACCAATATCAATTTTATAACGAGCAAACTGTGCTTCTGTATCTTCTTGTAAAATGTCGACAATAACAGCATAAATATAAACAGGAGTATCTGTAACATTATCTTCTGTCTCATCATTAACAGCGGGATCATAAAGTTCGTATCCCACATAATCTCCCACATAAAAACTTGAATAACTGTTATCTAAAAGCCAATGCTTGTCTTCGGGAATAAATGTTCCTGCTTCGGGAAATATATCTTCATTTAATTTGCATTCATAACCAGATTGTCTTATGTTCATCTCATCAAGTAATGCATGCATTTCGCTGCGGTTAGATTTAATACAGGACCACAATAAAGTAAAGAACTCTGATATATTTTCCTTTAGAATTTTACCTAGTGTTCTTGATAATCTGGATACAAATATAATATTATCTGCTGCTATTTTACTATCTATATATAATACTTTGATTCGCAATCTTAATTTATCTTCAAAACACTTTACTTTGAATTCGCTCCCATCGATAACATTGTCATTATAAAATAGGTGTGTGGTTAAATTCTCAATTGAAATAACTTTTATGTCCAATATCTGCTTAACTTTGTCTTCAATAGCTTTATCATCGTCAATTACCTTATGATTTTTATCTTGCAAATGTTTCATTACACGTATTAATGATTTGATCATTTCTGGATGATGCAATCGGTGATGTATATCTGTACGGGGAATCCCATGACGGCCATCATCAATCATTTTTTCGCGGACAACTTGACTTAATCTTCTCATATGAAACTGTTCGGGCCATTTTTTCACACAAGTCAATGGGTCAGACACTTCAATTTCCAAGTTTTCAAATCCAATGAAAAAATTAAATCTAATTTGTTTTATTCTCATATGTAAAAAATTGTTATCAAGGAAAATAAGATTTGTTGATGGTTCCATTTTCTTATCCATTGATGGGAGATATAAAATAGATCCTGCAGATTCTATTTTGTCCTTTCTGTTTTCCCATAGATCAATGAGGTTTTTCAGGCACTGTTTAACAACTGAAAATTCATTTACATGTAATTCATTACCAGAACAGTCTCTGTATATGTCTTCAAGAACTTTCAGATACATTGATGGTTCTCCCTGTGATTTAACACCAAGTGATTCAAACACATCAAAATATTTAAAATAGTTTAAAGGAGCTTCAAATATTCTACCATTTATCAGTTGCGACTTCATTTTAGGTTTCATTATAACTCGCCATGGTTCAACTAATTTCTTTTCATCAGGCAAGAATATCGATGAAATAATACTCAAACTAAATCCATAGTCAATATTCTTTTTCAGATACTTGTAGAATTTCTCAAACAAAGATGTAAGATACATATTTACTTTTTTAATTGTTTCTTCATTAAGGGAACTGGAGACATTCTTCATGTTTGTTTCAAAAATATCAAAACTTACTTCAGTGGAAATACCCAATAACTGATTAAAAGTCCTTTCACCCTTTGGTGTCCTGTCCTCAATAGGTACAAGAGATGATTGTATCACATTACCAACTGTCCAGACATAATCAGTGTCTTCCTGCAAGAATGAACCAGAGAACGAAACTAAAGATTTTGATTGCCCATTGAATTGTTTATGAATCAGCACATGACGATCGCCAAGGATCATTCGTTTTACAAACTTGATATCTTTTATTTTTGGCAGGAGATTTTCTTTACGTATTATATCTGAACCACGATTCTTCAAATGTTGCAGAAGAGTATTAGATTTTCTAAGTATGTTTTTATCAATTCCTCCCATTGCTAGTTTTTCAACAGTGGTAGTAAACTGAACAAACATCTCTGTTGAAACAGTTGTAACAAGACCAGCTGATAATAAAAATGGATACCATATCAAGTCATTGTAAGGAGGAGGTACAAAGTTTTCGTCTGTGAACATCGCCTTAAACACATCATTTAGCTTATCATAAAAATCACAAGCTCTGTACAAACTTCCATCAGACTTGGGCAGAAATTTTACATTCTGTAAAGCAGAACAAATTAATTCATTGACTTCTGAAGTAACTCGAAGATCTCGAACATATCCTAAATGAATTAAATGGTATTGTGCTTGAAAGCAGTGAAAGTTTGGTAAAATATAATTATAGTAAAGTTCCTCTGGTTTAACACACTTGATTCCTAAGATATCGAAGAGCTTGTGAATATCATAATGATATTTCAAAATACATATACCGGAAGTGTCGGCCCAATGATTAATGCCATCTTTTGGCACAGGTCTCTTAAACTCTTCTACTAGACAGATGTATCTTTTTGCGGAAACCACTGTTGTCAAAGAGTTTTCATATGTTTCAAATAGATTCAGTTGGTATAGTTCCTTGGCTACTGGTTTAATATCATCAATCCGATCATTAAAATACTTCAATATATTGAAGGCTGTTTTGGAACAATCACAAACAGAAGTCTTTAAATTGCTTAATAGAAGCTTTACCATGCTGTCTGGATCATCTACCGATGCCACGGTTTGCCGGGCTGTCTCGTATTCTTTCTCGTTTGTTTCAGGACACACTAACCTTGGAATCTTCAATTTCAGGAGAGCTTCCTTCATCTTGTCGTTAGTGAAACTTTTCGTATATATCTCTGAATCGAATATATAATGTGTTTTTGATAGAGGGTACAGGAAAAACCCATCGACTCCTTTTCTAACAGGAAGAATACTTAGCCTTGATAGTAATTCAAAATGCAAAGAACCAGGAATAAGTTTTTCTGTTGAGTGCCCATCCTGTTTTAGTAAATGTTGACTGATAAACTTCCAAACGTTACAAATCCAATCTAAGGAGAAGTCATCTTTATTCCAAGGAATAATTTCACCACTTGTGAGTAATTTATAACTTTTAGATTTTCCAAACATTTCTTTAAAAGATTCTAATGACCATTTTGTTAATGGTGGGAAACTGTCCACAAAACGCTCTAGCATAGATACACACCCAGAATGGATAAATTGTTGCGCAAATTCTTCAAAAATGTCGCAAAATCGTGTCACTATTATTTTCCCTTCTCCATAGAAATCCAAAATGTTATTTTGTCTTAAAAGCAATGGAGAACCAAGTAAGTTTTCTACATTTTCTATCTTGATATCACAAAGTACAAATTCCAAAACCAATTTAAAGTTTTCCAAGCTTCCAAATGGCGTATTTTGAATATTTTCGGGAATGCTTAATTCACATCTGTTTTCAACTTTACTTTGGTAAGATTTGAGAAACTTCAAAACATTTTCAGGATTAACAGATTGAACCTTGACTTCAGCTTGTTTGAATTCGTCTAATATCCGTTTAGATGTCTCCAAAACTTTCATTCCCAATCTTATCAAAATCTGTTTTAGGGTAATGTTTTCACTTTGAGTTGTTTTCTTTACTGATGGAGACGGTAAATGAGTTGATCTTGAAGAACCTGATGATCTGTACGGTGTGGTTGCTGTTGATGTTTCATCTTTGAAATAAGAATACAGTGTATCAAAACAACCATTAAATTCTGCACCAGTTTGAACTGCTACCCATTCAATATCATTCCATTTCTGTGTGTTTTCCTTGAGAACAGGGAAAAATGGTCTCTTCTCCTCCCCAATGGCCGTATACATCTTAACCACAAATTCCTTCCAGAATTTATCATTTGTCGATTGGGATTTAGGGAGTAAATTTTCAAACTTTCTGATTTCCTTTTCCATGGTATGTTTGCTTAAGGTTTTTTGACGGACACTTAATGGGTATAGTTTAAACTCTTCCAATAATGTCAAATACGCTGGGACAATGATTTGAGAATTTAATACACTATTCCACAATCCAGCTACAGATGTTTCATCATTCCAGATATTTCTTCTTGATTCATGATCTAAAGCAAATTGTCCGTTCACATGAACCGGGAGACCAGTGAATATCGGTAGAGGCAATGTACAATAGGCAATTCCCTCGACTTTGAATTTCTTTAAATTCATAGCCACTCCACCTCGTGGTAGTTTCATTAATTTACCACTCTTTAAAGCTTCAATCAATTTATCAGGCAGTCCGTTTTTAAATCCGGCACGTTTTACTATCAAGTATTCTTCATCTTTCTTTAAACTATCTTTGATTCTCATATTAATAGTCACCTCTTTCAGTAGATGAAAAGCATCACAATGTTTGTCTTTAATTCTGGCACTGAGATCTAATAAATGGTTGTTGAAAATTTCCTGTTTCTGTTGGTTTTGTTTACGGGACTGAACAGTATAGTCAATCTGTACTTTGCCATTTGATTTAACTGTACCAAATTTAACTGAGGTAATATTCTCTAAGAACAGCATAGATGAGAATATTTGATTCTTCAAAATTTCAAAGATTTTATCAATGTGGTTTTCAGTCATCTCATGCTTTGAAATTTTAGACAAACCAGCCATTTGTTTATTTCTTAGTGGGAGCCTAAATACCGTGCCTTGGTTCAATGTCCTTGTAAATTCAGGTAGAAATCCTTCATTGAAATCCGGAAATGAATTTTTTAGACCAACAGCATCTATCTTTACACCAGGTTTCATTGAATGTGCCATTGAAAGGTATTTACAGTGAGGATCGAATATACAAAGGGTTTCACCAACATCTCCACCCTTGCTCCAGAATGATGGAACATCAGTTACACGATAAACAACATTAAAGCCCACACCATATTGGCCGGTTTTTAGAACTTCTTCTTGTTTACTACCCGTTCCCAAGTCCTGAATTCCTTTCAAATCTTCTTCAGTAAAAAAACTATTGTTGAAAACACACAAAGCTGGTCCTTGAACTTCTTCCAGTCTTGGATCTGGGAGGGATGTTTTGGGTAACGTTCGAAAGTCTTTAATGAATATAACTTCTGTAGCACCAGCGTCATCAGCATTTTGAAGCATTTCTTTTAAAATCGATTCATCACAAGGGTAACCCTCTAAAATTCTCTTGATTCGATTTGTCAGTTCTTCATGCTGCCCGAATTCTGCGAACAATGGTGAAGAGATGGCATCAAAACTATGTCCTCTTTTGGATTTGACACCAAATACTTCAGCTGTATTGCGATCAAATTTTTTGTGGAGATGCCTAATATTCACTATATCTTTGTTATATACGTCAACATTATCATCAAAACACAGTGATGATATAGAGGTTAATTGTTTCTCCGAGTCAGGTAACTTGACGTCTTTTATCTTTTCTGACACAATGTCGCTACATCGTTCTTCATCTGATAACTTAACAAATGATCTACACAGTTGAGCTATGATATTTATTTCAGCCTCTTCTAACACTCTGTCACGTTTTTCATTGTCTATCAGAATCAGGATCTCAAGAATCTTTACTGCAGTCAATTTTGGTAGTACTCCAATTAAGATAAATAATTTCTCGTATGATCTAGCAAGGTTTGTACTAGAAATATATGGTTCTGTGTGGATCCCTGGTTCTAGAACCAAAACATCAGGAGTTGTCAAAGATTCTAAATGTAATACAACAGCCTTTCCTTTCAGTTTTTTCAAAATTAACTGTTTTATATTTTCATTCTGCTCTGGTGTCTCTTCTGAATTATCTATTTTATTATTTAAATATTTGTACATGGCAATAAATGATTTTTCCAAGTCGTGATACAAATCGTTGGTAAGAGACTGGGAATGGTACTGTGACATTATCAGCATATTTTCTAGGACCAGTTCCAGTGGTAGCTGTTGTTCTGAATGTTTAACACCCAACCATTTTAAAATGGAATCATGGTAACTATTGGTGTAGGATCTAGTAGATGTATCAACAATTGGTGAAGTGCAGCCAACAAATTCCTGAAGATCTTGTAAATAAGCCTCATGTGTGGAAACAAACATCTTCTTATCACTGTTTGTAAATTGGGGAAATTTCCACGTTAGAGTCTTTACTGGTAGGAATGGTAGCATGGACAATTCTTGTCGTATGTTTTTAGGACAAAACTCAAATTTCTTCTTGTAATTTTCTTTCCCTGTAGACATGTATGCCATAAATTTTTCAAAGCGAGATTGGATCAATTTTTCATTTAGTGTGTTTACTGCAATGGTAATTCTTTCTGGCATTTGGTCCCATGGTAAATCATCGCTCATCATACCAAGATTCCTCAAAATATCCAGAACCTCAACGTTTCTAAAGCTACCCGTCTTTAGTTTTGTATCATCTGGAAAACGTTCTTCAGATTCATCAAACAATTCTGCTATCTCACCATGTGGATGAATTAATAAGCTTGGTTTAAGTCTTTTATGGTTTGGTTTCGTTGGTATACAGTCACTATTTTCTATTAGCTCGTTAATTCTATCATTTTTTAGCTGAAGACTGTAAAGAAGTAATTCATCAATTTCTTCTGGAGACCAGAACTTATCAGTCAATGTTGGGAAAAATAAACAACTGTAGAATGTTTCAATTGTTACCATTCTGTGTCTAATAACTTCTTCACAACCAGCACTTTTAAACTGTTTCCAAACGTCCGGAAGCAGATCTACCACAGAGATTCCACCATCAAAATGTGGGATTAAGGAATCCATTTTCGTTTTGGAGAAATGACATAAAGCTTTCAGGGCTATTTCACCAATAACATCTTGGTCTCTTAAGGTTGGATCAAGAAAGATGGCATTATTAATAGAAACAGGTTTATCTTTAGACTGGAACACTCTATAATCACCAGCACAAATTGTCTTATAAATATGTCTTGATAGTACTTTATCATGTCTTGATGTACACTGTGAAATATTGGGCCAAAGTCTGTTATATTTGTCCTCTGGTACATCTCTAGCCATAGTTGTCATCATCAATAGATACGCTTTGCAACAAGCATCTTCCAGCAGGCACATATTCCATTCATCTCCAGGAACCTCAATATCATCTTCATTTTGCCATACAAGATCTCTACGGCTAGACTGTACTGCAAATGAACCATTCACGTGAGCAGGTAAACTCGTTGGTATTGGTAGAGGTAAGAAACAGAACAGATGTGATTTATCATAGAATCCAAAGTTACTGGTATCATCATCCTGGTTGTTCTTTAAAACAGCTGTTCCAGCAATAGGAAGTAGACCTTTAAATTCTTTTCTTTTTGCTGCATTTACTACTTTATCTTTCCCAAAGCTCCAACTTATTAAATAAGACACAGTTTTTTCAATATGTGGTAGTTTGAAAAAGTCTTGCGCTGTTCCTGTCTTTTTGACTGATACCAAAATTTCAATTTCTTCTGATAATTGTGCAAGTTGACCGTCTTGGCGCTGACTGTTGTGGCTTGTCAATATCTTCAGAGCAGAAGTATTATCCCGATTAGATGACTTGGTAACTTCCAGTATTAATTGTGCTTCATTTGGTTTGCCTCCTTTATGTAGATGATGAAGTTCAATTCTCCTTACATTCTGAGTGAACAGCAACAGATTTCCACATCCATCTGCAATCTTTTGAATGAATTCCTTCATTTCATTTTTTGAGTAACAGAAGTCTTTAATCAAACTTTTAGCCGCTTCTGATTGATTTCTAAGAGGGAATCTGAATAGTGTTCCATCAAAGTCGACTTGTTCTTTATTTAGGACTTTACATTGAAAGACTCCTTCAAATGGATAAAACTGCCCTTTCATCTTCTGTCTCATTTTCCGATTTTTTGAGTAATTTAGTTTGATTTTTAGCCCAGATTTGTGTAAATGAGTCTCATGAGGATCAAAGATAACATATGTATCACCAGAAATAAAGCTTGGTGTATCAGTTAGGTTGTAGACAGAATTAAACCCTAGCCCAAATCTACCAATTTTCATTTGATCATCTTTCTTTGTGGCTCCAGCTAACTTTGTTATATTCTCATAATCAGTGTCTGTAAATTTAGCATCATTATATGCCCAGAATGCTGGTCCTTGTACAGGTTCCATACCTTCATCAAACAGACATGTCAGTGCTTCTGGCATGGCTCTCTCATCGTATAGAAACTTCACAACACTTGCTCCAGCATCATCCGCATTCTGAATAATTTCCTTGGGTACAGTAAATCCATCGGTATAATCATTTAAAAGATTTTTCAATCTAGTTGTTAAAGGTTCCTTCTGGCCGAAATTCATATCAAATTTATCAGCGTCACATAATACACGATCATTTAGAGCAGGGACATTAAATCTGTTTGCAGTGTAAGAAGATATTTCCTTATGAACATAAAAGATTTCATCTTCATCTGTATCATCATCATCATCATCCATACTGGACAAATTCTTTAACCATGACTCATTACATACAGTACACTCACTGGCTGGTTTTAACAGCAACTTGGACGAATCTATATGGATGGGCAATAAAATACACTGACTGTAATCTTCGGTTGATTTGGCCAATTTATTTATTATCTGTAAAACTATTGATGTGTCCTTTGAAACGTCCAATTCGTCTAGGGTCTGATTTGCGTCATGCTTCACTCTGATATCACTCAATACATCCAGCAACATTTGGTCGTTTTGCTCTTTCTTGCATCCAAACTTTTCAAATAGATTTCGGTATTCATTCATTTCAGGAGGTAGCAGATATCGGTATGGTTGTAGTGGAAGATCGTCCTTCTTTCCTGTACAGTAGACATAAGATGACAGTTGGAAGGTGGATCCAGTCCATACTATCTTCTGGTTTAAAATTTCGTCTGGTATTTTAAGATTAGAGTTGTTTATATATTCATATATTTTATTCAGAACTGGTAAGAATTCAATTTTATCTTTCGTATCGTATCTTAGTGTAACCAATTTCAGTTGTTCAAATACTTCTCCATCTACAGGTTTGATACATGTTTTAAAACATTGTGGTATATCTTCATTAGATAATACACCTACTCCACCAACTAGATTGGCATCTTTACAGCTGAATAAATCTTGTGGTTTTTTAAACTGGAACATAGCATCTTCTCCCTTAAATGGTAACGTTTTTGGATAATATTCTGGTCTTTTGTTCATAATTGGGCAGATTGTCTTTGAGGTTAATAGATTTATCACTTCCTGTTCCAATCTATCGTTGTATTTATCTATCCATTGACATAGAGCCACACCTTTCTTGTAAATCTCATCTGAACCAGTTCCATCATCAATTACTTTATCAGCAAGATTCAAGATGTCCTTTCCTGTTAAATCTTCTTCAAATCGTAATCCCAGCTTCTTCAATTTCTTTATGTCATAATTATTAGAAGGGAAGTCACGCGGTTGAAACATGTCTTTAAGTAACATTGAACTTGGGTCAAGTAAATCTTTTGGTTTCACAAGTTCTCCACTCTTGTTCTCTATAACACATATATCACCGGCTAACTTCATTATTTTAATTTCCTTTTCAAAATGTGATAAATGCTTTAGGAAGAATTCCATGAATTTAAGTTGTTCTGACTTATTATAGCTGGGAAATGATGATAGTATATCTTCAATGATCTCTTCATATTCTAAGAAATCACAACAACAATTTCTTCCAACTTTCTTGATAGACTCTGATGTACATTTTATAACAGTACCTTTATAGGAGATAGGTAGTTCAGGATGGCTTCCTCTATAATACATTGTATTTATCTCATTCAAACAAACATACCGGTTACTGTTCATCACCTCAAATATTTCCAGTTGTTGAATAAGCTCAGATATCTGCAAAACCTGGTCATCAGAAAGGTTTGCAAATTTTTCAAGAAGTTGATTTCTTTCATTAGTTGAGGCCTCTTGGTTAAACTGTTCTATTTGTTGTTTACTCGTTATTTTCTTCATACAGTTAAATATACCTTCAGTTGTAGGATACTGTACAAATTTACCCTCCACTAGTGCTGATATTGTATTAGAGAGTGAGGTGATAATCTTTACACCAAGTTTTTCAAGAGAATTCGATAACTGTGGATCTAAAGTGTCCATGTTTTCTTTGGAACTCAAAATAGACACTGAATCAACATGGATGAGTTTGTTTTCTTTATGAAATGGTAGTAAATGTAAATGTGAAATCCATGGCAACTGGAAAACATCCTCATTTTTGTGTATATATTTCCATACGTCATTTAACCAATCAGTAATTTGTGGTGTGATCTCTTTATGCCTAAAACCGTTAATCTCTATACACTCTTTGAGTAATTCTTGAATATGTTCAGGTAATAGTTGTTTAACTTGGAACCGATCTGAAATGAAAAGAACCATGTTATCTTGAAAGTCACATTCACTCAAAACAAAAAGGGTTCAAAAGATGAAATCAGTCTAGCCTGCTTATAAAACACAATTGGATCCAAGGCAGTAAAAGTAGAATCTTTCATCATGAACATCAACCACCGTGCCAATATTATAATGCTCAGAAGCTCAGATTAGATTAAATATGGCACTGTTTACAGAAGGGGGCGAAGACACAATATGCAAACATATGGGCAATATAAAAAAGTGAAGACGATACATATCGTTAAAACAAAGTTATAATTTGTGTGTAATAAACATTATATAAATGAAATTTGGAATACCTATTAGTTTTTGAGATATATCTTGAGAGAGGTCATTGAGCATAAACCTTGATTCCATTCCCGGGAATAATTTCAAACTCTCTGCTTCACACCAGAATATAGTCTCTTCTTCAGCATCAAATATATGAAATTCACCATTAGCTAATGGCAATATCTTCAGATCTTGCAGTTTTTCGATATCATTAGATATGAAATATTCCAGTAGTTTCATCTTCTGGTTGATGTCCATCAAGTCAAATATATCATCATGTTGAATCAAAAAGGAATGTAAACATGACGAATCAGATACTTCAATCCGGCCATGTGACTTTAAAGATTTCACAAAATCATCTGGAAGACAAGCTACATTCTTTTCCTTTAATAAATATACATCTTCTATAACCTTTAATATAGTATCTGGATATTCCTCCTTTACCAACACAGTTGCTTCATCAGGTTTAATCCATTTTCCACCAGAAGCCTTGGTAAAGATGATGTTTTTCTCGTAGAGTTGTTTAAAAAGTGGTTTGATAAATATCTTCCAGTTTTCAGTAATCAATTCGGGTTTAGGTAACAATTTATATATTGTATTCGTGTCAATATCAGCTTCAGTCAAATATGTTAGCAATTCTGAATATACCAAGGGCAAGATTTCCGTAGCTAAAATTTTGTTCCATTCTACAGAATTTTCCGAGAGACCGTTCCTGTTTTCCTCTTCTGATGACATCCATTTAATATGATGACGATCTTGGCTCAAAGCAAAGAACCCATTGATATGAACTGGCAAGCCAGTAGGGCTAGTGCGTTCTAACGGTAGTGGTAAAAAGCAATATATATGCCCTTTAAACTCTTCATCACAATTTGATAAGCATCCTGCTACACTGACATATGGACTATAAGACCATTCTTCATCATCTATTAGTCCCTGTAGACCATTACTTACAGATCCTCCATGATAATGATTTACCACTATCCAATCTTTTGTATTTGTTTCTTCTGATAACCATTTCTTCCCTTCACATTTAATAGAAAGTTTCAAATAATGGAAAAGATATTCATTTGCCAATTTCCCATTCAATTCTTCAACTTTCTGTAAAAAATCTCCTCTCTGATCACGAATTTGATGAAGGTCCTCTTCTTCCTCGACAGATATCTGTACTCGATAAATCAAATCATTCTCTGATTCTTCAAACACTTCTATAAATTCAATTTTCTTTAAAAACAATAGAATAGATGGTGCCAAATCTTTAAATCCACGAAATATGTCTTGAATTTTCGCATAAGTATAAGTATCACGGGACAGTTTCGAATCTTCTGCTCGCAATGGGAACCAAAACAATGTACCCTGGTATCCGTCTTTGAAACAGAGCCTTGAAAATCCAAACTTATCGCCTATCAAATTTAGC